GATGAAAATTAGGAAAAAGTACTACTTTTTTTAGTTTGTAAGCTACTTTTTGCTACTTTTTTTAAAATTAATTAGCCAGTGCGAAGTCTGTCTATGATATATCTAAATTTAGAAAAATTATTTTTTTCAAAAATTGAACTTTATTTTAATTAATTTTATATTATATTTTAATTATATTTTAATAAAATTAATATAATTAATATAATTTTAATTATGTTGAATTAATTAATCTTGATTTTCAATATAAATTTAATAATAAATCATTCATTAATTTATTAAATATTAAATTTATATTGAAAATTAATTTTCAATATAAATTGTTAGTCAAATAATCGGTAGATTATAGTTAAAAGAAGAAATATTTCAAAAAACTGTTTTCTTCTGCTGAAAAAAGAAATCTGGGTCCTTAAGAAACAAAAAACGGTTGTTTTAATATACTTGGTACTAGTTTTCAAGTAATGTGGTTGATGTAAAAGATAAATTGACGCAAAAAAAAAGAATGTAGGAGAGGCATCTGCTTCCACTCAACGAAAGAGGGCAATGTGGATTAAGGGAGAGAAAACAAGTCGCAAGACTAGGGCAGAAAAAGTAAAAAAATCCAATCAACATAAAAATAAATTCTAAAGAAATCATTCCTTTCGATTTCGACAATTTGTTTGAAATCAGGATTATGACACAAAAATTTGATTTTCTTTTTCCCCAACTTTTCCCCAATGTCCTGACAAAATTTTTACTTTTTCTCTGACCCTAAAGAATATTCTGATTCACTCTAAAAATTATTAGATACTCGAAAAAATTTTCTTACTACAATTATTTGCGAATATCTTTAATTGTAAAATTATTTAAAAACATCATTAGTTTTATTTAAAATAAATATCAAGATTGCCACACAATCTGAAAACCTGGAAAACCCGGAAATGTCAGGGGATTTTATAAACCTTGAAAAAACCTGGAAATGTCAGGGAATTTTGATCGAAATCCTGAAAAATTGTTGTTTTCTAAAGTTATTGTATTCATTCTTGAAATCTAATTTTACTTAAATATTTCAAAATTAATTCAAAAATTGTTTTCGAATCCAATACATTTTTTTAATATTCTTGATCAAATCAATTTTCTTCGACAATCAAAGGAAAATTAATTTTCAGTCGAAGAAGCAAGTCAAAGCAAATGATTTCTTTATTTGAACAAAAAATATTTTCTAAGCTTTTGGTTAATTTTTTTCTGTTATTCTATTTTTCTTATTCGGAATATTATGTAAATTTCTATTTACTCTTTTGCATAACACTTTTTTTGAAAGTCGTATAAAATTCATCCTCAATTTGTCTTTCTCTTTACAGTGTGGTAGTTACTTTTTTCTACTACAAAAAAAGAAAATGAGAAAGACAAATAGATTTGTGTTTTCTCCTATATTAATATATTTGCGGGAGAAAAATATTAATAACTATCTTGTTGGCAATATTGTCAAAGTCGATGCGCTGCCAGAGCATGATATAATAAGAAATATCATTTATGGCAAATTGGCTCTGTATTAGGAGTGATTTTTTTTCCTTGAGAGATTCATATCGTTACAGTGTTCAGTGATTGAAACATTTTAACACGTTGGGCAAACAGTGTATGTGTGGTGCTAATGAGCAGGCTTACAAAGTGAAATTCCTTTCACTAGTCTTTTTTTCTCTCCCCCTCCCCTCTCTCTTTCTCTCTCTTTCACTCTATCTCTTTTTAGAATCGAATTGTCATTTATAAAATGAACGAGATTCGCAGACCATCTTCCGAATGTCTTTAACATTGCACATCCGGTTTTTTCAAGCACTTTTATTTCGCATGGCGCGTGTTCCTTCATGCTCGATGGACTTGCTTCGAGAGCCAAGAATGTCCGAGTCTCTTCTTTAGAAAGCGGTTGGTTCTCTTGGCAACTCAGAATTGACTTAGAAGTACATCAGCCTCTTGTTCTGTTTATTCGTCTTTATATAGAAATCCCTTTTCTTCTTCTTTTTTTCATTTTTTTTTTTTTTTTTTGTTTTTGAACAGAAAAAAAGTTGCTCTTTACTCGTCTTTCACGTGATATCCTTTTAATTATCCCGGTCCATTATAGACGGGTAATAATTATTGTTTACATGAGCGAGCATCTTCCCTTATTCGATTAAAAGATGGAGAAAAAAAACGGGAAATGAGAGAAAAAGAAAGGAAGAAATTCCTTCGAGTTTATTCGATTCATTTATGGTATAGGAATTATGTTTACTGCATTCTTTTTATGCGAGAGAAATCATAAATAAGGAGCAAATTGTTGTATTTATTGAATGAATTATTAATTGAGAGGTCATTTACGGATGAATGAAAGAAGAAGGAAAAAAATAAGAAATCTTATTGTTTGCTTGTCTCATAAAATTACCAGGAATTCTAATACAAAACCTTCAATTCTTTTTTGGATTCAAAAAACATTTTTTTTCCCAGAAAAATTTATTTTGATTCAAAAAGAATTTATTTGTTTCAGAGAAATTTTTCTATTTTAATTAAAGAGGTCTGTTTCTTTTATCCTAAATGAATGATACAATTTTTTGGATTTAAAAAAAATTCTTGGGTTCAATGAAAATTTCTTGGATTAAAAAAAAATTATTTGATTCAAAAACAATTTTTTTTTAAAGAATTTGTTTCAAAGAAGTTTTCAATTTTAAATTAAAGAATTGTTTGATATACTGATAACAAAATTTCTTTGATTAATAAAACAATTTTCTTGGATTCAAAGAAAATTTATTAGATTCAAAAAATGTTATTTGATTAAAAAATATGTATTTGAATTCACAACAATTTATTTGCTTTAAAAAAATTGTCCTTTTCGAATTAAAGATTTTTTTGACTCTATAATATATCAATGATAAATTTTTCTTCGATTCAGGAAAAGTTTATTTGATTCAAAGACAATATATTTGTTTCAAAGAAAGTTTCCTTTTTTTAAATTAAAGAATTATTTCTTTGACCCTATATTAATGATAAAATTTCTTTGTTTTAAAAAAATTCTTGAAAACAATTTTTTTGGAGGAAAATTTATTCGATTTAAAAACAATTTATTTGTTTCAAATAAATTTGACTATTTCAATTAAAAGTCTATTTCTTTTGCCCTAAATGAATGATATAATTTTTTCGATTTAAAAAAAATTCTTGCGTTCAATGAAAATTTCTTGGATTCATAAAAAATTATTTGGTTCAAAAACAATTTACTTGTTTCAAAGAAGTTTTCCATTTTAAATTAAAGAATTGTTTGATATACTAATGATAAAATTTCTTTGATTAATAAAACAAATTTCTTGGGTTCAAAGAAAATTTATTGAATTAAAAAAAATGTATTTGATTCAAAAAAATATATATATATATTTGAATTAAGAACAATTTATTTGCTTTAAAAAAATTGTCCTTTTTGAATTAAAGAATTTTTTGACTCTATAATATATCAATGATAAATTTCTTGGATTTAAAGAAAATTTGTTAAAGATTTATCAAATAAAAGAAAAGTTGGTTAAATCAAAGAAATTTTTTTTTTTATATATATTTTAATAACTAATTTTGAAATAAATTTTCAAAAATTAAGAGTATAAAAAAAAATTAGCGATTATTTTAAAGGAAAAAAAGTTATCGCAGAGAATGTTAGGGATCATTAAGTAAGTTGCTTACAAAGAGGAGTTTTGATTACAGTGAAGAAGAGAGATTTGCAAATTAAACTTGAACGCGAGTTTACTTTGTAGATTAATTTTAACATGCTTGGCAGACATAATAGGTAAATATGCAAATAGATCAATGAATTTTCTATTTTGATTTATAATGGCTCGATCGAGATCGTAAAGCATATCGCGAATCGAGAAACGAGGCAAACAAGAATGGAAAGTCAAAGTTAATGGTCCTTAAGGAAGTTATACAGAAGGAGATGTAGGTTAAATTCCATCTAGAGGATTAAAAAAAAATTGTTTCAATGTGTCCTCGATCATTTTAATTACTGGAAAACTATTCTTATTTCATTGGATATTAATTCTTACTCTTGTATTTTTGCTTGTCTTGCTCTTGTATTTGGCTATTTTTCGGGAGAATTTTTATTTTTCTCATTATTTTATTTTTTCTTATTCTTTTATTTTCTCCATTTTTTCTATTTTTTAAAGTTTTAATTTATAGTTTGAAATTTTAAATACTTTTTTTCTTACTTTAATTTTTATTCAATTATGAAATAAATGGGTAAATTAAATTAATTTTTAAAGTAAATTTTAATTAATTTCTAAAGTCAATTGACACTGAAAATACCTAATTAATTAATAGCAAATTAATGTTTTTTCTTAATAATTAATTAATAATAATTAAATTAATTTTTAAATAAGTAAATTTAATTAATTTCTAAAGTCAATTGACACTAAAAAATACCCAATTAATTAATAGCTTCAATTAAATTAAACTTAGAGAAGTAAAAAAATTATACAGAAGTCGCAGAAAAGATGTAAGTGAAATAAAATTAAAATGGAAAGAATAATAATTCATAAGGACTGGAAGTATAAGAGAGCAGTTATTTAAAAGTGACTAATTATGAAAACATGCTTCTTGAGAACTGGTTTTTGCTCCAGTCATAAATGTATGTACTTTATTATTACACCTGCACACAGAAAACAAATCTTTTTTTTCGTCTTTGCCCCCCTTTAAGACAGAGCAATATAGAAAGTTCGATTTTTCCATATATATTATACAAATTAACCTTTCATTTTGGAATTTTACCTAATTTATTGTATATTATTGTTGTTAGGAAAAACGTATAAGTATAATTGTACATGCACTAATATATTGTATAATGCATAATACGTTGAATTATTTTAATAACGGATAATTACAGCGAAACATTTTCATGTGTATATAGATAATATGGCATTATTTCATTCGTTACTCAAATTCATATTCTTGTCGTTTCCTTTCATAGAAACGTTTATTTCATTCACTTATTAAACTTTCATTTAGTAAAATGACTTTCTTACCGAAAAAGAATGATATTTATCGTATAGAGTCAAACAAGTCGGTTTTGCGAGAGATTATATAATCATACCTGGAACAGAAGAAATAAAATAGGATTAAAATAAATTTCATACGTGTGTTTAAATGTTAAAAATTTTTAAATAATTATTATTTATTAGAATTTATTTATTTTTATTAGAATTCATTGTTGGAATATTGCACATAAAAAATTATTTGACTTAAATAAACTATATTTGATTATTTTCAAAAATTTTAATAAAATTAATGGTAAAAATTTAAATTATTTTCAAAAATTTTTCATGATTTTTATTGTTTTCTATTTAAATAAAATTTTCCAAACGAATTCAATTATTTAAAAAATGTTTGATAAAAGTCTACCCAAACAATCAATTGTTTTTATAAATAATAAAAATTTCCCAGGAATTCAATTATTAAAAATATAATACCTAATTTGCATAAAATTTTTCTAATAAAATCAATTATTTAAAAAATATTTTATATAATTTTTCGTTAGAATTACATTATTTTCCCAAATAATTAAATTTTCCATTCGAATTCAATAATTTTAGAAATTTTAATAAAATTCTTCGCAATAGTTCTATTATTTCCATGAATAATGAAATTCTTCTCAGGGATTCAATTATTTTCACAAATAAAATTCTTTTTAAGAATTTATTATTTTTATAAATATAATAAAACTTGTCGCAGTATTTCAATTATTTTTATAATACAATTTTTAATAAATTCCTTTAAAGATTCAATTTTTCTTAAAAACTTTATTAAAATTCGTCGAAGTAATACAGTTTTTAAAAAAAATCCAATAATTCAATAAATTATTTACTTTTGTATTAAATATTTCATTATAAGGATAATAATTTTGATTCAATACATAATAAAGTTTCATTCAATAAAAATTGCGTTTAATTCAATTATAAAATATGTTTAATTCAGAAATATTTTCTTGGTTGGCTACTTATTTTTGAATTAAAAAGAAATTTTGCTCAGTATAGAAATATTATAGGATGTATTTTAAAAAATAATTCAGTTATTTACATTATTATTTACATAAATAACTCTTCGAAAGAATTCAATTGTTTACATAAATAGCAAAATTATTCCCGAAAATTTAATTATTTTGAGGCATTTTAATAAAATTCGTTGTAAAATACAATTATTTTCATAAATAAAGTTTTCCGCAAGAATTCATTAATTTAAAATAAAATTTTCATAATTATTTATTGTATTTCGAAAAAATTAATTATTTAAAACAATGTTTATAAAATTCTTATAAAGAATTCAATTATTTTCCAAAATAACTAAATTTTTCGCAAAAATTCGATTCTTTTAAACATTTTAATAAAATTTTTCTCAATAATTCAATTATTTTCATAAATAATAAAATTATTTTTAGGAATTCAATTATTTTTTAAAGTTTTAATAAAATTCTTTCCAAGAATTCAATTATTTACATAAATAATTCTTCAAGAGAATTTAATGATGTCGATAAATAACAAAATTATTGCCGAAAATTCAATTATTTTGAGGCATTTTAGTACAATTCTTTGCAAAATTTAATTATTTTCTAAAATAACAATATTTATCACAACAATTCAATTATTTTTAAAAGTATTAAATTTCTTCTTGTAAATTCAATTATTTTTAAAAATTCTAATAAAATCGTTCTCAAAAATTCAATTATTTTCATAAATAATAAAATGCTTTTTCAGAATTCAATTATTTTCAAAAAAATTGAACATAATACCACACAGACATTCAATTATTGTCAAAAATTTTAATAAAATTTTTTGTAAAATTTAACTATTTTTAAAAACTTTTTGCAATTCAGTGATTTTTAATATCTACTATTTTAATAAAATTTTTTAAAAAGAATTCATTTATTTAAAAAAATTTTTATTAAATTGTATGCAAACATTTAATTATCTTCATAAATAATAAAATTTCTTTAAGGAATTCAATTATTATTTTCATAAAAAATAATTTAAAATTCTAGAAAATAATAATTGAATTAAAATGATGAAAATAATTTTGATAAAGTTGCAGTAACAATATTTTTATATAATATAAAATAAAGATTTTATTACTTTTATAAGTTGTTTAATTTAAAAAAGGTTTGAATTTTAAATTTTTGAATGTCTTAATTCCTGTGGAAAATCCTGTTTCAAAAATAAGATTAAAAATAGAAATTGTGCAAATATTTTTCTTCTTTTTCTAAAACAAAATAATAATTTTGTTAAAAAAATTGTGATTCATAAAGAAAAATAATGCAAAATAAATAAATTTTCTATTTCTTAATCACAGTTGTTTAACAATTTTCTAATTTTGTTTAGAAGTAAAGAACAAAAATTTGCATAATTTTATTTTGACAAAACATAATGTTTAACAAAATTTTAGTCTTTTAATGAAAAGAAGTGAAAAAAAAATAAAAATAATTATAACATTTCGCAAGAATTTTGATACATTTATTTGTCTCAATTTGACATTCTTAGAAAAACTAAGTATGTAATTATTTTCTGTCTTCTTATTTATTTTTAGAAAATAATTCACCTTTTACCTATATTTCAAAGAGTACAAAATTTAAATTTGCTAAAAGAAAAATATTTTTGTTCAAAGTAAAAAATTATTTTTAGGTTTGAAAATAAACACTACTTTCTTTTTCTCTGCGATGAGATGAATTTACACACAAAAAAGAAGAGTGGGAGGAGTATTTAGAATAGAAATTTTCTCGATTGAAGATGCCATCGAGGGGTGGGGGAGGAGAAAAACGAGTTGATAACATTCCGTAGTGATCACAGCCCATCTATAGAAGTAGAACTGCATTAATTTTGCAATTGTGACTCGTTAGGTTGTCCCAGAACAAGACAAGGTGTCCCAGGTCAAGGAGAAAAAAGGAAACCAGGTCCAGTAAAACTTGCAAAGAGTAAATCTCACGAGAATATCCCTATGCGATCAAAAGAAAACGACTATCCCTAGTAGAAATTTGTCATAGTATCTTTAAGGGCACTGGACAGTTCCACTGGAAAATTTCGAGGCACTTTACAGTTAAACTGGCTAAAAACTATAAAGTGATGTCACGCTAATTTCTTCAAGTTATTGTCCAGTCAAATTTTACAGTTTCTGATCATCAGTCCTGTAGAAAAACTATACAAAATAATTCACTTGGAAATGTCAAAACTTTCTTTATATTGACGTTACGTATTAAACACGTACAAATTTGAAAATATAACGTTAAATTTTTTTGTCAACAAATTAAATAAATTAAAATTTTACGAAACTATATTTTTACTGTTGGTGTATCTATTGTTCCGTATAATAAATGATTTATAATAAATTATCTGTAAAATTATTTTTAAATAACTACATAATTAAAAAAAAATATAAAAATTACTGATTCTTGAACACATGTCATTTTTTTACATTAAACAACATTCACTTTTTCCTTTAATTAAGCACAACACTGAAATAAATATTATTATTTTATCACACTACAAACTTATAAGTAAACCCTAATATGAAGAATTAATTCAGTTCAAACGAAAAATATCTAGCGGTTTCGGGGAGCGAACTCGGGTCACACTGGGACGAAATACCTAAACGCACGCTTTACGCATCACGGCCGTTCTAGTCGATGGACGATTCCGGAAAAATAAGAACCATATTCTACCGGCAGGTAAAGCAGTTCCCTTTTTCATCTTTTCTAGCTCAACTGGCGAATTACTGGACAGCTACTGCATAACACTCTAAAGTTGAACTTATTGATTATTACTGTATAGAAGTTCTGTCTGTCCAGTTATTCTCATGGTACTGTCTAGGCGTTCCGTGAAATTATGTTTCAAAGTTTGTCGTGGCGTTAGCGCTACCGTCAGTCCAGCAACTGAACAGTGTTGTGTAGACATTTTCCATAAATACATCAGAGTATACACTGAAAGAAATAATTCGCGGGTGTAACTAGAATTATGTCTATTTTTTCCGTAAGGAATTAGTAATAAATTGTTACTGTCTACTGTCATTAATTATAGACAGTTCTGTTATTCAGATCGGAGAGCTATACATATGTCAACGTCAATTCATCAATGTAAAACATAACCTCACTTTATTGGACCAATTCTAACTTTTTGTATGTAACAGGTTTGTTAAATTAATATTTATACATATAATAAGAGTATATAATCTTGAAAAGAAATTGTCTTCTGAATTTAAAAAATTAGTTATTTTAATTAACTCAATTAATTGAAGCGAATTTTAAAAAAATTTTTTTTTTCTAAAGGAATTGTCATTAAAAATAAATTTTGATTGAAAAGAAATTTTTATTATTAAATCAAAATTTTAATATTAAATAATTTAAAAAATTTGTTATTTAGTTGTCAACAGTAAAATAAAAGAACAAAATTAAAATTATAAAAACTATAAACTGTAAAACCAAAAGATTTATTTTATAGAAAATATTTCGAAAATGTCAATACACAACTGTTTAGTTACTGAAACTGGCGGTAGCGCTAACGCCACGACAAACTTTGGAACATCATTTCTCGGAACGCCTCGACAGTGCCATGAAAATAACTGTACAGGACTTCTATGCAGTAATAATCAAGTTCAACTTTATATTTTCTTTAACAGTGTTATGCAGTAGCTGTCTAGTAATTCGCCAGTTAAGCTAGATTAAACTTCCATGACTAAAACTGTACAGTAACTTGAATAAATCTAGTCATGCCACGACAAATTTCTACTAGGGATATCCATCAGGGGAGAGTTTACTCTGGGCCTAGAAACCCTGATTTCCGCGAGGGAACCCCGGGAAGTCAGGAAACTATTACTTTGTGAATACTCTTTATATATAGTATATATATATAAAGTATGGAATGAGTAACAATTTCTTTTTACATTGCGAACACGTGGAAAATCGGGGACATTCTGCCTTCCAAGACTAATTAGAAATCAGCCGTGTTCCGTAAAGGCGAAATCCTAATTCTCGTGCAACAAAAAAATCAGAGTGTTACTCCACACCACAAGACTACTATTACGAGTTTACTTATAGACATTTCTGTAAATGCT